TTGAGGCTGAAACACAACCTGCTCTGAAATGTTGGGGCAGTCGGAGAGGGGAGGGGGAATTAGAGGGGAGTGAAAACTGTTAAACACTTCAAGGGAAAGATTAATACACGTGGCAGAAGGTTGAAAATTATTATACTTTGCAATTCATTTTATATTTCTTAAAATACGACGGAATTATGTGCTGTGCTAAGAAGGGAGAAATTAAAGATTAAGGATTATTTGGTATTTTACATCTTTATATAATCGCCTTTTATTTCAGACTATAGTAATCCTAACCAAGAGATGAATTTTCCTATGGCTGGGATTTAAATATATGTTAGATATCTCATGAAAATAATGCAAGTGAGCAATGTCAAGAACATAGTTTAGAAAGGAATGAAATGCAAAACCAATTAACTAACTAAAGAACAGGAGCTGGTCCTGAGAGAATATTAAATTATTTTACCTAAGTACAAGTTTTGCTCCTATCTCCTAGAAGGCCTTAACTTGGGCACTGAGTGTGGGGGTATGGAGGAGGAGGGGTGTGGAAGAGGAGGAGGCACTTTATGCATTAGCAAGTAGAAGGGAGCAAATTGCCCAGGTTACCTAGGAATCTCTCATTCAGAACAAACACATAAACTTGGAATTCGACTTTGGAGTAGGAACTAAAGTGAAGGTGAAGATGTAGGGGAGGCAAATAAGTATTTCCTTTCCATTTATGTGGAGAAACAAGTAATTAGCCATCGGGTTGATTAAAAAAAAAAAGTCTAGCAAGCAAGAGTCTACTAAGAAAACCCAAAGAAACCACGCAAACTATTATATTATTACGAGAGAAATCTCCCCATTCTCTTTACGCTGCTTTTGCACGCTGAACTGTATTTTCAAGAGCCGAACCTATTTTCTTTTTTTCTTTCTGTTCCCTCCCCCCCCTTTTTTTAAAAATAGAAGCTCCAAAATTTCTCGGATTTGCTATGGAGGTGGGAGGAGTGTTGCCAAAATCCTGAACTACCTTATCTGTTTTATTTTATTTTTTTTTAAGTGTCATGGATGGGAAGAAATAGGTAGAAGAGTTCTGGCTTAACATCTTTAGACGTTGTCTCTCTCTCTCTCTCTCTCTCTCCCCCTCTCCTCCTCCCTCCCCTCTCCTTCTCCCTCTGTCTTTCAGATTAAAACAGGTTTTCCTTTTAGGTGAACAAGAACATATTGATTAACAAATAATGAATGATGGAGATTTGATGTACAAAGCAGCTCCTTAGCACTTAAGACTAAAGAAGCCCAACATTATCTTAATGGAAGGCTATAATTGCTGCTTTGGAATATTTACACTGCTCAAATGACACTGCAGTAGATTTTACTTTCAAACACATGTCAAAAAGGCAAATCCCAAAATGACCAGTGAAAAGCAGCTGTTGCCATATTAAGTATATAAAAGCTTAAAAAAAAAGTCAATAGTTTCCCTTCTTAGTTCAGTATCCACTGAAGGAGAAATTTACCTAGGTTACATTGAAACTTCCACTGAGGTTCTGGAGGAGGGGAGGGGAGAGAGGGAGGAGAAAGGAAGGAGGCGCTCTAGGCGAACTTAAAGCGAACAGGAAACATTCAACCCAGAAGGCAGGTAAAACTCCTCAATTGGGTAAGTTGTGAAAGTTAACTCCTCTGGGGGAGTTCAGGCTCTTTCCAGTCAATGCCTGACCGTGTTGCCTGGCCGTTTTCTTCAATCTGGTCCTGTGCTGGAGGGAGTACTATAGAAAGGGGATTTTTCGATGCTGGGAAGCAGCAGGTAGGAAAGGAACCTGATCAGCCCCCAAAAGGCAGCAATTAAAGTCTTAACCGCGACCCATCTGTCGCAGGATCGGCACCCCTTTCTCTTCCTCTCCTTTATACCTCACCCTCCTTCTCCCAGCCCCACCACTTTCCCCTTTGTCTGTGCAAGGAATGGGAGGAGACAGGACTAGCAACTCCAGCAGTAAAAGGAAAGAAAATACCTTCCTGACATTTTTTTTTTTAATGTCGGAACTTTTACTAAGAGTTCCTCCAAAAGGAATTCCTCCTTCCGGGTGTCCCGCGCCTCTTACCGTCTTTGGCTCCAGGAGCTAAATTCACTCCAACGAGCTGGCTCAGTCCCAACCTTACACCTCCCGGCAGTGCAGGAGGGCCAACATATCGTCCCCCTCCCTCCCTCCTCACATCCCTATCTCTATCCTCTTCTTCCCTCAAGTCTTCCCACTGTCCGCGGTACCTGAGGGTTACCCCTTCCTTTTCAGTGGTTCGCGACGCCAATAGCATCTGGGCCATTACTCCGGCGCCCTTGAAAATACCACCTCCCGCTTCTCAGTCCCCCCTCCCACCGGGCGGCGTCCCCATCACTCATTCAACCCGCGGGCTCCTGGGCGCGCGCGCGCGCGGGCGCGGACACATACACACACACACACACACACACACACACACACACACACAAACACTCCTTCTCTCCTCCCCTGATGGCTGTGTCCCATTCACCGAGGGGAGAAAGAGAAGACAAGTGGGGGTAGGGTGGTGCTGTCTCCAGCGGGTGGAGTGTCCAGCCTGAGCTTATCCGTAAGGGAGGAGCGGGAGCTGGTGTAGAGATAAGGCCCAAAGTACGGGAAGTAGCTGGAAATTGCGGGTGTGGAAGAAGATACTTAAGACCCAGGGCCCAACTTCTTACTGCCGAGAATAAGAATTCGGCTCCTCCGCTAGAAGTACAATAATCCTAGAGTTGGTTGGCCTTCTCCTCAGCCGGACCCCGAGACCCTCTACTCTTTATCCTTCCCAACCAACAAGAGAAAACGCAGGGGCAGGAGAGAGGGAAGGCTTGTCCCGCACGTTGTTTTGAGGGGCTCTGGAGAAAAGCAGGTTCATGCTAGTCCCCTACACGAGCTGGTGCTACGAAGATTCCCCCACCTTTGCCAAACCCGTCCCTCCTTCCCTTCTTGTCGCACTGCAATCACAAGCTCAGTAAGTTAGCACCGACCTTCTTCTAAAGTCCTCCTTGCACAGGGCCTGCTCCCCAGCTCGCGTGAGTTCCGCTGCGTTCGGTCCCCCTCGTGGCCCGCGCGCTCACGCGCGCAGACACAAACACAAACGCATACTCAGAGACACAAACACATACACATACACATACACATACACATACACACACACAACCAAGGTGAGCTGCATCTGTAGCGTCCCTCACCTTTCTCTCTGGACCCTGAACCGAACTGCTGGGGAGGGAGGCGTAGAGCGGAGGTAGCCTCTCTTCTATCCCCATCTTAGCCAGAACTGCGCAACCTCTCGGCCCCAATGCCCTCTCGCCAGGGTGGACCAAAGGCCGAGGAACTGCCTCCCAGCCCGCAGTGTTCTGAGCAGCGCCAGCCTGCCTTCTCGCGCGCTAGGATCCGAGTGGGAGCTTTCCCCCAGGCCCGCTCTGGGAGAGAGCTCAGTAGGGGAGAGAGCTAAGGGGCAGGGCTGGGGACAACCTGGAGCCAGCGCTCGGAGGTCAGGATCTCCACTGCTCTCTGCCGGCTGCAAGACTGTCCGGCCGCTCGACCCTCGCTCTCCCCGGCTAGCCAGAGTTGCTGTTCCCTCGCCCAGACTACGATCTGAGACCCCAGGTCGCGGCTTCCGCCCACAGTCCTCGGGGCTTTGAGCTGCTTTGGTCCTGGGTGGAGGGGGAGGTGGGGGAGGGGCGGGAGTAATAGCGAATTTCCCTGTTCTCTATTTAGGCTAAAGACAAAAACAAGAGAACTTTAGCTGAGTGACAGCTGGTTAAATAGGAGCGCCCCCTCCCCCCCCGTCTCCTTGTCAGTGTGTCAATATGTAAGAGCGTGTGTGTGTGTGTGTGTGTGTGTGTGTGTGTATTTGTACTGAAGTGGATCGAGGGCTGGAGTTTTCTTAAGGCTTCTTGGTACTTTGAGCTTGAGAGAGGCCAATATTTAGGGGAAATGGGGCCCGCAACTTCCCCTCAACTTTCTATGGACATGAGGATTACTTGGTAGTGCTCGGACGGCACTCTCGTTTCAAAAGCATACACATATACATGGAGTTCTCAGGGGCCCTTTAACTCTTAGGGGCATTTTACCTGGCTGGGGTCTTCCAGTGAGTCCAACCCTCTGACCCTCCAGTGGTGCCCGCCCAGGGAGAGAGCGCAGAGAGGCTACGAGAAGTCAGGTGCAGCGGCAGCAGAAGCTGCAGCCGGAGCATAGCCGAGGCAGCCCGAGCAGATGCCAGGCTGCCAAACTGCGCCATCAGGGTCAGGGCTGGAAACGCGCAAGGAAACCCACGAACTCCTTTTGCGCTTGCTGCGGCTGAGACAGCGGCTGCTTGTCGCAGCACCGAGTTTGATAAGTACAGCCTGGCGTTTGCCCCTAAATTAGGCTCCGTTTCCTTATTTAGCCCTAGCACAATGATTTTAGATGATGTCACTTAGAGCTAAATGAGAAAATTGATCTCAGATTTGCCTGGCCTCTAAAGCCTGGTTAAGCAGATTGCGAATTAAAAAGACGGAGAAAAAGGTAGAGGAGGAAGGAAGGGTGCGCCGGCGAGCGACTGAGCTAGCCAGAGATCGAGAGGAGGGCAGGAGCCGGGAGAGCGCCCCCGCCTTTTCTGGGCGGGGGAAGTCTCACTCACCAATGAAAAGTGGTCGCTTACTGAAGAGGAGAAAAAAAAAAAGTTTTCCTGTTGACTGTTGGAAGCGAATTGAGCAATTATCTAGTTTACCTTCTCCTCTTGGAAGTTAACGATTGGCGAGATCTTTGCTGCGTTATTGACACAACACTTTCTATTGATAGAAATAAGTAGTGATTGTCCCCGAGTCATTGGTACGCCAAGTAAACTGCGATGGGCTGGCATGAGTCCATTGGACTGGGAAGGCTGGTTCGGCTGGTGATGCTGGGGGGGAGGAGGAGGATGGTGGTGGTGTTGATGGTGCTCGTCTTCCAATCTGCAGATCAGTGACAAGACTGAAAAAAAGAGGCGTCTACGATAGAAGCTTGGACCCGGCTCACACATGCAAGGCAGACATGGATTGTAGTTCCCATCACCCGACCACAAAAATCTTAGCGACTCCTCCGTCTAGAGAGAGCCTGCCGGCTAGAAGCAACATGATCAGCGCTTCCAAACCCCTCGCCTTTTCCATTGAACGAATAATGGCCAGGACTCCAGAACCCAAGTCTATGCCCGTCCCCCATTTCCTACAGGGATCTGTACCCAAAGGAGACCCCAAGCACTCCTTGCACCTCAACTCATCGATCCCGTGCATGATTCCCTTCGTGCCGGTGACCTACGATACCAGCCCCAAAGCAGGGATGACAGGGTCGGAACCAAGAAAAACTAATCTGGATTCCACTTCTTCACCGGCATCCTCATCCTTTAGCTGCAGTGATCTGTTGAACTGTGCGTTGAGTCTGAAGGGAGATTTTGCCCGCGACACTTTGCCTCTACAGCAGTATAAATTGGTCCGACCTCGAGTGGTCAACCATTCCTCCTTCCATGCCATGGGGGCTCTGTGCTATTTCAACCGGGGCGATAGTCCTTGTCACCCGTCGGCCAGTGTCAACATCCACCCAGTGGCCTCCTATTTCCTCAGTTCCCCTTTACACCCACAACCCAAGACGTATTTAGCTGAGAGAAACAAACTGGTCGTCCCGACTGTGGAAAAATACCCTTCGGGAGTGGCTTTCAAAGACTTGTCCCAGGCTCAGCTGCAACATTACATGAAAGAAAGTGCCCAGATCCTCTCGGAAAAAATTGCTTTCAAAACCTCAGAATTCAGCCGAGGCTCTCCCAACAGTAAACCAAAAGTTTTCACTTGCGAAGTGTGTGGAAAGGCAAGTACTTGGTTTGTTTTAGCTGGGAGACCTGGGCTTTCAGATGTTTTGCTGTGGCTTGTCTTTAAAAAAAGGTTATTTCCCTCCCCCGTGTCCCCGATCCTCACCCCTACCCCAGTTAAAGCTTGAATATACCAGTGCCGCTAACCTGCTCAATTTGTGTTCAACTTTAAAGGTATTTAACGCGCATTATAACTTAACCCGTCATATGCCGGTGCACACAGGAGCCAGACCCTTTGTTTGCAAAGTTTGCGGAAAGGGCTTCAGACAAGCGAGTACCCTCTGCCGTCACAAGATCATTCACACCCAGGTAAGTAATGTTGGTCATTTGGGGGTCGATCACTTATTTACCAGCTTTTCACTGAAAGTTTTTAGACTTCCACGTTTTAGTTCCCTATTTGTTCGAAAGGGGCTCCTGAAAATGCTTAAATTCAAGAATTGTTGGGGAGTTTTTTCTCCTCTGCTTTGTTTATGCATGGGAAGTACGCGGGGAGAGAGGCAGAATGCTACCTTGCCTGTTTCCACTTCGCTTTCCTCCACTAAAAAACAAAAGCAAAACCAAACAAATATTCTGACTCCTTTGTTTCTCCCCTTTCTAGGAAAAACCTCACAAATGTAACCAATGTGGTAAAGCATTTAACAGAAGTTCCACTTTAAATACTCACACTCGAATACACGCCGGCTACAAACCTTTTGTTTGTGAATTCTGTGGCAAAGGATTTCATCAAAAAGGTACAAAATACAAACCGCACTATCTTTTTTGTTGTTACTCTTGCTATTTTCTCTCCCCAAGAGCTCAACTTAATTTGTTTAAACACATTTAGGAAGATAATTTTTATACCAGAATTTATTTTGCAATTTAGTTTGGGTTTCAGTGTTTTGTCGCCTTTCCAGAGTCTGGGTCGGTTTCGTATTAAAGAAGAAAACAGGTGGGTTTGTTTTTTTTTTACATGAATGCACAAATTCGTTTCGTTAAAATGAGTAAATAAAGGTCTTAACAATCTGGATCCTAGAAAAATTAGAATTTTTAAAAAGATGAAGTTTGGGGGAAAAAAAAGGGCAGAGAAATGAAAGAGAACGGGGTTTTGGGTCCCAGCCTGCTACCTGCAAAGAGGAGCCGCAGAAGTTCTCTGGCCTCCACCCCGCCGGCTTCCACCACCTAACTACCCTCTCCACCTCCTTCCCTTTCCGCTTTCAAGAGTAATATTCCTGTCGTTTGTATGTTTCAGGAAATTACAAAAACCACAAGCTGACCCATAGCGGGGAGAAGCAGTTCAAATGCAATATCTGCAACAAGGCTTTCCACCAGGTCTACAATCTGACTTTCCATATGCACACCCACAATGACAAGAAACCCTTCACTTGTCCCACCTGCGGCAAGGGCTTCTGTAGGAACTTTGACCTCAAGAAACACGTCCGTAAATTGCACGATAGCGCCCTGGGGCTGCCCCGGGCCCCAGCCGAGGCCGGCGCTGACCCACAGCCCGCGATGCAGCCCCAGCCTCCGATACCCCCGCCGCCACCTCCCGGGTCATTGCAGCCTCCTCTTCATCAGGGCCACCAGTGAAAGAGCTGACCCGCGACCTCTGCCAGGCCCGTGGGCCCCGCTGCTTCTTCGACGCGATGCGCTGCAGTGGGAAAACGAGTGCTGATGCGGCCTGTCACCTGCGAGCAGACAGCACCCACTCAGTCTCCTCACCTTGGGGGAGGCTACCAGAAGGCTCTGCCGCCACCGCCCTTTGGCCTCTTTGCATGCACCTGCTAAACGGTTTTGTGTATTATACTTGATATAGCCACTAACAGTCATGAAAGGTTTTTTTTAATTATTTTTTTCTGTTGTTAATTTTCTTTTCTTAAAAACAAAATAAGACTTTTTTCATCTCGGGTGGAGAGATGGTGTTTTCGTTTTGTTTTTTGAAAAAGCAAATTTCTGCTGTATTTATTAGGATCTGTATTATCCTATCCGGGAATGCTGCATCACTTTAATTTTATTATTGTATATATTTCCATTGTGTTGATTCTGCCATCTCAAGATGCCTGCTGATCGCCGTATCTCTTCCTTCCCTTGAGTATCACAAATACAGTATATTTGCATGTATGTGTGTGTATAAATACATACACAATATGTATACACAAAATACTTTGTATGTGTGTATATGTATACAGATAGTAACCTGCATCATGTGTATATGTAAATATACATACACATATATGCATTCCCACATTAATGTGTTTACAAATTAATGTATACACATACATATATGCACAGGTGTGAATACATAAAGACATACATAAATACATAACCTAAAAATACACCACACAAGCACACAGGTATGCCTATATATACTGGATCGGGCTGGTTCTTTATGTATGGATTTGAATTTCAATTTTGATTCTTGCACGTGAAAACTGATTCGTTGACTGGTGAAAATAAATGCTTGGAACATGCTAAGCTAAACAACAAATTGGAGAGCTCTGTATTATTCAGCTATGAGAACATTGATTTAAAAAAATACAATTCTGTAAAACCTATTCCCTATGCATTGGTATGGAAAGAGACTAGAAGCAAAGGTATTGAAGTAGTTTTGAGTTTTTGATCTTGCAAAGTACTGGACATAGAGATTTCTAGTGATGGTGAGTCTCTGTGACATCTCAGTGCTGTAACATTCGAATGTTAAAAATAAGAATAATGGGGAAAGGGCATATATAAAATAACACCCTCATAAATATTAAGCATACATACAACATAGAGCATATTGCATACATGTTATTTACCTATAATGAACACAGAGCTTGCAATGGGAACCTCAATATATTATGGGGTTGTTGTTGGTGGTGGTGGTGGTGTGTGTGTGTGTGTGTTTTTTTAATGAGTGTATATGTTTATAGACGAATGCACCTTCATCCAAGGAGGGAACATGGATGGAAACCAAACTGTGGTTGGTGCCAGGTCCTTGAAATGCTTCAAGTGTTAATCAGCAGATCCGCTGTGAGCCCAGGCTCTGGTGTTTTCTAACTGCAAGTCTCTCCTGTTTTCTTGCCAAAACAGTGAAACAACTGCTAAAGACTTTAATTAAGAGGGGTAATTAGTTCAGATTTATCAAAGCCGGGTTGTTATACTATTAGCTGCTCAGTAGAAGCTGCCAGACAAGCCTAACAACCAAGCCTGCTCTTCCTTCCTTGCTACCCTCCGCTCTGTCTGCTTCACTGCAAGGAGAAGGGGACAGAAGCCAATTTAGGGATCCTTGTTCCAAGACAAGAAGAGGACAAGAAGGTGACTGGACGTGCTGCAAAGATTTTCGCCCCCAGCCATGTCACTGTCCGCTTCTTCCAAACAAGACGCAGCTAGTCCTACAGGGTGGGTGTCCATCCCCTCCCCACTCCCAAATACTTTTCCTCCCCCGACGTCCTTTCCACACTAGCACCTTCATTAGCTATTGGTCAAAATCGAAAACAGAGCCACATTAAAGTCAAGTGCTTGGGAGGAGGGGAAAGTGAGATGATTTTTTTTCCCTAGCTGGTACGAAGGGTGGGGTCATTTCAGGCCCTCTAGACTGACGAGGAAGAACTTTTTTTTAATAGACTACATCATTGTATTTCTGAAAGGAAAGAACGAAGATGTACGCTTTGGGAGGGAGGAGAGAACTAAACTAAGGCATTAAATTTTGAGAGTCTAGGAAGAGACCCTCTCAAATACTACCCAACATTTTCTTTGAAATTTAGTCTAGCCGCTCGCTTCAAGAAGGGAGCGTCTTACTAGTTTTCTCCTCTTTTCGAGGATGTTTGTTACCAGCGAGGATTTCTAGAGGAGAGATGGTAATAAGTGGTCAAGGCCCCAGGGATCCATGAAAAAGTCTACTTTTGGTGCTCTGGGGCTATAAAGATTGATGATGAATTCTTCATTCGGGTCATTTGGGAGCAAAAGCAAACTGAGATGCCCTTAAGGTAAAATACGTTGGAGGAAAGGGCAGGAAGGAGAGACAACAGAAAAACAACGAAAGCACGATTTAAGAAGTACATTAAAAAGCGAATTTCGTTGTGACTGGCAGACTGTATTAGATGTCTGGGTCGTGGGGATCCCAAATAACTGTAGCCTTCAGGCAGTGAAACTTTCCGAAGCCCCAGAATTTAAATCATTAGACGTAATCCTAATTTATCCTGGCTCTCCATTTATATTCCTCTTTCCCTAACCCACCAGTGTCCTTTGTTACCAGGAGATATTTGCCAGATTTAAGTTTGAAAAGCTGTCTCCCTATAATGCTTTTCTTTTGCCTATGGAAGTACCTAATCCATAATTACATGGATTCTCAATCATTACAACCCTGAGAAACCTTGTCTTTCCCTGACACCCAGGCTTGCTCTCTAATCCTATCTATCCCCAAATTGGCCCCATCCAGTCACAGCTGCCCACATACAACAGTTGAGTCCTAGGAGGATGGATTCACAAGGGTTGGGGTGGGTGAGGGGTGGGGTGCGGTGGGGTGTATAGGTTCAAGGTCTTGCTCTTTTGGAAGGTATCCTGGTCCTAGATTGAAAACATTTGTTCCATTTGAGTAAGTAGAGTGGGGGTAGAGGGTCAATATAGTTATAATTGACATATTTGGGCCAAAGTTTAAACCTTTGCTCTGAATTTCAGAGCAAATTTCAGAGAAATTCAAACCTTTGCTTTGAATTTGTGTTCACAAGTGCTTTAAAAAAAAACAAACAAACCAGGAGTCATACTTGTGGAGCTTCAAAATGATAACTTCATTGGCGGAGAGGAAAAAGGGAAACTGTAAAGATGACCTTGCTGTGAGATACTTGAAAGTGCATACAGAATGGATATGCATTTATTTTAACCCACCAATATTTCTCAAAGTAATTCAGGAAGGGGTTTTTCTCACATTAAAAAAAAAAAACTTACATACTGTATCAGATATGGGGCTGACATGGCAGGAAATGACATTATCTGTAAATCTATACCCAAGTATGACTTTCTTTTTGTAAGATGATGTGGGATAGTGCAATAGTTTTAGAGAGAGAAAAATGGGGAAAGTATGTCCTGTTCTCCTAGTGCTTAACAAGATGAAGAATTAGAATGGACTTCACATAGAGTTAAATACTCAAAAGGAAAAGTTATCGGGGAAAAAATCCACAGTACCTGGGTTTATGGCAAAGTCAATTTAAGACGAGGAAACATTTATCTCCCTTGAAAAGACATGAGTTCAAGAATTTAAGTTTACAGGGGGATGGCAAAGGAGGGCTTTTAAAAACTCAGTTTCAGTGAAGAAACAAAATTTTGTTGAAGGCTAATTGTTTTCCTTAAACACTTTTAAGTGTGTGTGTCTGTGTGTGTGTGTGCTTACTCAATTGAAAATTCAAAATTTTCACTGGGATCTTAAAGGTATGAACAGTATTTTGGCTGGGTCCCAGCTTACCTTATTTTCACCAGAGGTTAGCCAAAAGCTTTGCTTATGTTTGATAGGGAAGGAATAGCTAGTGTCCAGATTTACTGCAGAGAGATATGATTTGTATACTATCTCTGTAGGGATTACCCACATCCTCAGAGGACTTAGGCTAAGGCTTCGAGAGTCAATTTTTAAAAGAGACTGGCTGCTATGGCCTCATTGTTCCTCTCATTTTGGAAACAAAGACTTTGCTGAATAACTATGTAAAACTGAAGCCTTTTATGTTTTAAAGTATAATGTAGGAATTTACATTTTTAACATTAGCAGTTCATTTCTTTTTATTTTTCAATTTGAGAATCCTATTTGCTCAATGTTTCCATCCCAAGCATTATCTGGAACTTTTTATTTGCTAGTGAATTTTGAAACTTTGTGAGTTCATAAGGAATCATTTTCCATTGATGGGGCTTCATTGAAGAAATTAATAGAAGCCTACTTAAGATTAAAGTACTTTCCTGATGCTTCTGACCCAATGAACTTGCCATTTGATTGATTGATATGTATTATTTCTTGCCAGGACTGTGAGGGGAGTTGGACAGTATGTTAGGGGCATAGGTTCACCTGGACCTTATAAACAAGAAATAGTGCATGTGAAAATAGTTTTAATATGAATGATTATGTTGAGCCTATGTCAATTTACATGCCATCTTGGAGTGGGGGGAGGAGAGAAATGGTGAGAAAATTTGGAATTCCAAATTTTGTGGAAGTGATTGTTGCAAACTAAAAATAAATAAAGAAATTTATTTAAAAAAAAGAAATAGTGCATATCCAACTTACTCCAACTACCCTGGAAAATATATGAGATTTCAGATTTGAAAATGAATCAAAAAATACTTTTTTTTAGGTATTTAAATGCAGCCACTGTTACAAGTATTATAGTGCATATACTGTTTTGGTATTTTTTATACTTGTTATTGGTATTTTTCATGTATCTTTTAATTCAGCCTATTTCATATCTGGGACTTTTGAAGCCTAATTAGGCTGATTTTTATACCCTTACTTATCTGAATGCATTATAAAAGAAATGATGCAGTCAATTAATGCAGTCGATGCTGATATAAAGTTGCTGACCCACAAAAAAAGATATTTTGAACAGATTCAGATGCCTTTTACTTCATGTTTT